ATATATATATATATATATATATATATATATATATATATATATATATATATATATCATGTCCACTGATCATTAAAACTCCACTAGAATTTGGTCAAAGCTAATGAAAATTGCAAGAAAACAAGTACCTATCATTTCTCAAACATTGCAACCACAAGGCACAGTGTCAAGTTAAAATGCTATAATGAGGCATACAAGCAAGAATCCACCATTAGGGCAAAAATTAATTAGCAAAGATGCTATCAAGTAATTCACATGGTTTTCCTTTTCAGATGGCTACATTTAATTAAATGTATTCACAATTGTGAAGGAATTCACATGCTGTAAGTAGCTTAAAATAAGCACCATGAGTAGTTATTTATAATATTTTGCTCCAGAAACAACATGAGTATTTTTAATACTTGAGATAAAGAAAATAACATTAAAGCAATAGATTGGGAAAAGAATATACCATTAAAGTCTTCATCATTGTTATAAGTACTGATCAACTACTAAATGGTTAACTATACTGGAAGTACCAATTAATTAAAATTGCATGCATCTTACCTTGTCTAAGAGACATCAATGCAAACATAAGCCCACTCAAGACCATTGTTAATGCCAGTCGAAAAGACTGAAAAATGAAACAAAAAAAAAATTAGAGAACCAATTGACATGCAAGATAAAGTATAAGTCATATGCATGGAGAAACACTGACTCCACCACCTGCAGCAACCTGATGCAAAATATCTAAAATCAATAACCTCATAAAGAACATTTCAAGAATGGACACTACTTCAGGCACACTAATCCCTATGTCAGATTCCCATGGGTTCTTGCATGCAACCACAGGAGGTGAAGAAAAGATGGGCTGCCAATCACCATTGCATAAGTAATGACTAGAAACAAAGATAGTAATTGGAAATTTGGAAAGAGATATTTCGATTTAATGCTTTCTTTTCAGCTTGTGATCATATGCTAATCCAGGTCCTGTTATGATAGAGTGAGAGAACAGCAGGTCAGGTACCCACAAAAGTTCATCCAAACCCAAATAGATATTTGATTTCCTGAACTTGAAACCAACTAGGGTACCTAATTTCCTATCAAAACCCATTCCAAACCAAATTAAACACTAGGTCACCTAAACCTTAATGCCTGAAAAACTCAAACCCCTATCATCCGTGCCTCACAAAAAGAATAAGAAAGGATACCCAAACCCGACTGAACCCATAAGAAAACAATTAAAGGGTGCCCAAAGAACAATCTTTTTTTTTGTTAATTTAACAGTGAATATAGATAGATACACTTGCTAAGATCTCTTCAATCTTGATTATTTTAACAATTTTTATTAGTGCTGCAAGTATTTCAGCAATTTACTGATGTTTCTATTTTCTAATTTACTATGCAGGAAAATGTAAGTCAGTAATGAGCTAAAAGGTTGAATACAGTCCATACACAATATGTAAAGTTTTCTTTTTAAAGACATGTAAGGGTGAGTTCAACAACTCAGTGCATCTTAATCATTTCTTTTCTTGTTCTAGAATAGCACTATCTCATCTAGATACAAGGGTCATTTATGAGATGATAGAACTAAAACTACTTCTTCCAAATTCAGATTGCACATAGAGATCTTTTGTCATGTTCTGTTAGCATACATTCACATTTGAAGGTCAATTCAACAAAGAACAAAAGTATATTCGTTCAATGTCTTCAAAAATTCAACTTCAATAACTTCAATATATACTGAAGAAAAGGCATAATGAATTCTTCTGTATATATATATATGTATGTATGTGTGTGTGTGTGTATGTGTGTGTGTGTGTGTGTGTGTGTGTGTGTGTGTGTGTCAAGGTGCAAACAAACAATTTAACAGATTAAGAAAAGTAACTCATAATTTATTTTAAAGCCCCAGAAACTACCAATCAACATTGACTAGCATAAACATACCGCATATGTCTCCAAGGCTCCAGCTTTAGCTGGAGAACTCATATCTCGACTAAGAGAGACAATATAATGCCCTTGTAGCAAATCAATTGCATCCTTGTAAGCCACAAAACAAGAGAAAGTAAAGTAAGTATTATGTCTAATGAAAAATGTTGAAAGAAATAAAACCTAGAGCGAAGACCACCATAGAACATATTCTACAAACTAAAGAAAGTTTCTCGGTATGTAAGTAATTCCATTGTCACAAAAATATGTAAACAATCCCGAAAGTTCACCAAATTCCTGTCAATGGAGAATAATCCAGTCCTCTCAATGAAGAGACAGAAAAAGATATCTAATTAAAATCTAGTATATAAAACATTCAGTGATATGAAAAATGCATTACATGCCATCATGTAAAACCAAGGGTTACAATATCATGCATGCCAGCTAATGCTTGTCTACATACTGCTCCTATGAATTGCTGGACCACGCTAATTTGTTGTGCCTTACTGTCACAGGAAAAAGATCAATTGCCCTTTACGATTCAAAATCTATCCCACAAAGTCACAAATGATCGACACTGAACCAAAACCAAAGTCAGTTGACTAAAACATGAAAGGGACATTAAAAAAAGCTTCAAGGTCATGGCCCAATTTCATTACTCTTGCTAACAGTCACTGCAGTGGAGCATTCAGCATAGAACCTACTACCACCATGCATCAAAAATGGGGAGGTTGGAGTAATGCCCCCAAAAAGACTCTGAAATTTGACACTTGTTCTTGGTTCAAAGACATGGAATGATATACAATGAAATATGAATGACTTTTACCTTTTTCCTATTTCACTTTCTACTCATTCAATTTCTTGATGAAATGAGTTGGATAGGTTTTTGCTTAATGTTTGCTTCAAAAATGGAATAGATGGGTTAGCTGCAACTATTATGCAAGGATGGTCTCATAAACCTGATGTCTATCTATAACTGCCATTGGTCATATATTATCTGTTCTACCATAAACATGTATAAAGAATTGACTTAATAATAGCCCCATATTTTACAGGATAAAGGCAAAAAGATAGATACGAACAAAAAAAGCTTTTGGTCCCACATATTTAACAGATTAATTAAAACCTGTGTCCCTGTAGAAGTGCAAAAAGATCGAATTTATCCTTGATAGTGCAAAATCAATATCAATGTCCCTTGTCAAGAATTTTCTGAAGGATTTGGCATAATCTTTTATGTCCACATATTTAATAGGTTAGTTTCCTTGTGTCCTTGTAAAAGATTGGAATGAACAGATCCATCCTTAAAAATTTGTGACTCGTCGTATTACCCCTAAATAAGTGAGAATTTAATATCAATGTTGCCGGATAGTGACATTTATAAAAGGTGATCTCTAGCGAGGGGCATGATGTTAATTTTGCACTTCTGAAGAAAAACCAAGTTTCAAGTTTTTGAGAGTTCATTCCATTATGGGGCAAGTGATATGCATGTAATTGTGTGTATTCATCAGTTGGGGTAAATCCACTCTACTCGTGAAGTGTCCAAGTACAGATTGGCCTAGCCATTAAGAAACCTATTTTCATCAGTAAGTATGGAATTTGAAATTACTTAAGGGTTAATTTTTTCCCTTTGGTTTTGATCCTATCCATGACAGGGATCAACTTCTAGCTTCAATTATAAACAAGAAAACTTAAAGTTGAAGAAAGGATTCCATTTCTCATGTTCGCCATTGTAACAATCTTTTTCCTAATCCTCTTCCTGAAACCACTCTGCCCTTCCTACAGCTCTCTCCATTATCTGATATTGGTAACTGTAATGTAGAACCACTTAAGTGTCAAAGATCATGGCTTACATGGACACTCCAAGTATATTGGTTGGTACAAGCATAATCACTTAAGTAAATCAAGTAGAGGACCATCATGGTATTCTTTTTTTATCTATTTTTGGGTAGTTCACTAAAAATTTCAGCATGATTGAAGCATATTCTTTAGAAAAAATCATGAATGAATCATAATGAGCTACCATGCGTATAGTATACAATCTTATAAAGATTCATCCTTCACTAGATGGTCTATGTTCATATGTATTCTTTGAATCACCATATGCCTTTCTGAAGATCCTTTGCCTGTAAACTCACCCTCTTTTATATCCTATTGTTCCATATGGTAGACCCATACCAATGTTAATATATGATAATTACTAGCAAGCAAAATCTTAAACACCAATGTTTCTCACACATGGGAACTACTTTGCAGGTATGTGCTACATAACTCTTAGGAAATTTTGAATATGGAACTAAAGGGTTTCAATCAAAGGATGTTCAAGATAGGTCATTAATTTAAACTTCTAGACACCATACAGACTAAAAAAATTAAATTACAATCAGCCAAAAACCTGTTTTGTTCCATCAATGAAGTTGTTCAAGTAATAACGGGCTAGAGCATTCCATCCATCTTTCAGAATTCCCTGCACTGTTCGTTTTCCATGCCTGGAAAATGAGATAACATTAAGAAGTTAAGAAAAGAATATACCATTAAGGTTACACCCAAAATAACTGAGGCAAAAAGTGTATCTTATTGGTTCATAAATCTACTTTAGACCTAATTTATTTAAGGGAAAAAAAAAAGATAATAGATAGACATAAGAACATGATAACATGTCATTCTGAAGAGTAAAGATAGACGAAAAAAGATATGCTTCAGAGTTCAGATACCAATATCATCAAGAAGTAAGAGAAGTTGAATAATGGCATCCAACCTTAAAAGAATATCTTCAACAATTGTTAATTCAAATAATTCAGTTAAGACAAGCTTTTTGAGGCAGCATCTAATACGAAAGTTAATGTACTTCAGACAGTGTTCCCCAACCGACAAACATGGTAGAAAAGAAATCCATTACCATCCATAATACACCTTATATAATTAATTGTGACTAAGAAGCATCCAAATTACGTTCAGTTCAGTTAGTCCAGAATCACATAAAAAATTTAAATCTCAATCAGAAGTGTCTTCAGTCAATGCACATCTTGGTACATAAATTCTATAAACACTGTTCATTTATTTTCTCTTGTGCATAGGAAAACTTCAGAACATAGTAGTACTTGAGAACGCATTTTAATAGTTGTAGATCATGTCTAAACTATAAGATCTAGAGTGAATAAGATGCCTCACAACCAAATTGCAAGTTGTAAAAATAGAATTGAAGTTTTCACTATTGGCTGTCTTGTGATCAGGGTTTTAAGCACCGAAATGTCAGTGCTTGTAACTGTTTTGACACCTTTACAGGGCTCTTTATCATAACAAATAAAGGATTTTAATGCATGTGTGAATGTAATGGACCAAGCCACGCAATATTAATGTATGATAGAATAAATCTAGGCCAATATCGGCTTAAAGGGGATATGCCAACCAGCAAGGCAAGTTATATACTCAGCCAGAAGTCCATAACGGTCTCGACACTCCTCTGTGTCATTAAACAGTACTTGTGAAAAACAAAAACAACAGCATCAAAGATTTCATCAGCAAGAGACTAGAATGACCATGACTTCAGGTAATATGGCCCAGAGTCTGATGCAGTGCCAAAGCAGGGCATCATTCTTAGCTTCTCTGATAAATATGGCATCACAACAAAACCCTTCATTTTCAGGTATGTTCACAAATCACAACTATCATTTAGTTCTTCAAATAATTTTCCATTTTCTCGTTTCTTAAAAATGTTTTCCTTCTCTCCCTTCGTGTTCTTTAGTGTCACTAACATGCTGAGCCAGGATGATGAGTTTTGGTACAACTTTAGAAAAATTTATTACAAGATAGAAAGTACATATGTTGACTCTATATAGATACTTCATTTCTCCTGAAAATTCACCAAAAAAGTTATCGAGCCATTCCGAGGGAGACATAAATTGAGTCATACATGCCTGCAAATTACCCAGCACAATATGCACAGAAATCTTGTAATGTCTATGAATATATGCCCATAATTAAAAGGATGCAGCAAATGATATTCCAAAGTGGGTTCGCACATATGTGGCATACAGTGTGCTAATTCTTGCAATGCTGCTGATGATTAAGAATGATGCACAAGGCAGAATCATTCAGAACTACTTCAAAAAATCTCCAAACATTTTTCTAAATACCTGTGTTCATAGAAAGGTTGAAAAAGATAGACTACTATTCATAAGAGTTACCTAACAAAATCTCCTTTCAGTGCTGGAGTTCCAGAATACTGTATGCTAATTTCATCTCCATGATTAGCCCACACTGAAACAAGGAAAGTCACAAGATTAACCCTGATGGTAAGGATATCATATAATTGCAAAAGGTGGATCGCAATGAAAATGCAAAATATATACTCACAAATTTTGAAGTTTGCATCAAAAAATGGATATGCAGTAATTAGGACATCAGAACCAAAAAATCCAATTCGCTTAAGTTGGCTTTCCAGCATCTTTCTCCCAATCATGCTCTGGGGACCACAAGATAGATATATATGAAAAGTTTGTCTAATAACAGTGATTCAAGCCCTTTATAGATAAATTTAAATAAAAAATTAATTGCCAAACACAGAAAATAACTGGTAAATTGGGAACATGGATATAGCAGGGCAAGTCAAAGTGTGTCATACACAGCACATATTTGCAAACTAACATTAAAGTATGCACCACAAAGGAGCAAATGACAAAGATTTTCATCTTCAAGAAACAAGAAAAAGACTTATTGCCTACAGAAAAAGAAAAAATGAGAGATAGATCTTAATAACTGAAGATTTAAATCAAGGTCCGCCATACCGAAGCGTACCACCCGTACCGGGCGGTACGTACTAGGCGGTACAGTATGAAAAAAATAAAAAATTATTTGGTACACCAGGGTGTACCGCTCTGTCACGGACAAACTTCGAAACAGGGTGTTTGATGTAATGCTTATATATGTCCGTGTCTGTTGGCATATTCATGCCCTGTACAGAATGTAAAGGGGCGGCCGAAGGC